AAAAAATACGATTTTACTTAACTGTTTTAGTAGCTCTTTCTATATTTTTATTAATAAATAATTTCAATAAATTTGTTGATTAACAATTGTCGATTTACAATAAATTAATTAATTAATTTTTCAAAAATTCAAATCGGTTTTAAAACAGCCTTATCTCGTATATACAGGGTGTTTCCTACGATGTTCTCTATGGGCATCTCGGGAACTACTGGAGATAGAGAATCGGTTAAATGGAGAAAGAATTGCAGTTTTGTGGAGTCATAAATAAGCGCCTTTCAGATTTTTGAAAATGTTCATGGCTTACTAGATATTTCGATCTAGATATTTCGAAAACAAATTTTGACTATTTTAAAAACTGTCCCTAATTCCATTATAATCTATTTTAGACAAAAAGTGTTCAGATAGAAGTTGTAGATAATCATATTTCTAATGAGATTGTGTTCGCCGATTTTTTCTCAACTTTTCTTGGCCATACAGTTTCCAGGATACGTTGACCGCTAAAAGTTACTTACGTTTTTTAGAGAACAGTTTTCAATTTTGTTATGATTTATAACTTATAAAAAGACAAAATATATTATTAAACAGCTCTTTACAATTTATAAAATTATTTAAAAAATAATATCACTACATACACTTTAAGTTATATTAGAAAATGTTCAAAAAATCTGCAATTGTTTTGAGTACATAAATCATCTTTTTAAATAAGCATCTTTTTAAAACTGAATTTCTAGCTATTCTCACAGAACGGCCGGTCGACTTAATTAAACTGCTCCTGTGCCGTCTCTTCGAGTGCCTCTCTTAATTCATAAGTTCTTTGTAAACCTTGTTGTTAACCATACTAAAAATGGATAGGTCAGGTAACCGAGGAGACCCATGCAATTTCCCTCATGCACCTCTTTCTATCCATGAGTCTACATAATTATGATGGTGTGTCATAATGAAAGTGTGTCATAATGAAAGTCATGTTGGAACCACTCTATTAATGCGCGAGAAATTTAACTTTTCTAACATGTCTTGAAAACCGTTCTCTAAAAAACGTAAGTAACGTTCCCCGTTCAACGTATCCTCGAAACTGTATGACAAAGAAAAGTTGAACAAATAATCTTACATGCTTTTCTTCATTTGAAAAACTCTTATTTACAATTTTTGTTTATTTTAATTTACAAAGATTGGATGTGACAATTTCACATTTCTGAGAGCAACGTCGATTGAACTTGTTTCCATGGCTAACTAAGTGAAATTAGTCAAGAAAGATAAGAATTGGCTATAACTCAGTAATTTTGTGAAAGAAACATATTATGGCTTATATCGCTGAAAAGCTTAAAAAATGGCGCTTTTTATGAAGTCATGGCCAACTATGGTTTCCATTTAAAAAAATATATGTTTATGCCATATGTCAAAAAAGACAGGCTTTAGAAAAAATCGGAGAACACAATCTCATTAGGGATGTGATCATCTACAACTTTTATCTGAAAATTTATGGTCTAAAATAGATTATAATGGAATTAGGGACTATTTTTAAAATAGCCAAAATTTGTTTTTTTCGAAATATCTAGTAAGCCATGAACTTCTTCAAAAATCTGAAAGGCGCATTTTTATGACCCCCGAAAACTGCAGTTCTGTCCCCATTAAACCGACTCTCTATCTCCAGTAGTTTCCGAGATACCCATAGAAAACATCGTAAGAAACTCACCCTGTATTAAACGTTGATATAAAACAATCCCTGCCCCCATATTGGTTCTACCAAAGAAGTAATTTCATATTCATTTGGCCCGTAGAATGGTAGGGAAGTAAACGGAAATAAATAAAAAAAGACGAATACATTTCCAGTAAGTACTTATGCAAACGGTTCAGGACTTATTTTAATAATGAGATTAGAAATTCAAATACGGCACCCTTTTTAAGAGAGATATATTTCTAAAAATATCCTCCCCCATTTTAAGGAGAAAGGGATAATAAAATTAAAGGGCAAAATAATTTTTAATTGCATTGCACTTCAAAAATAATTACTAACAAGAAATTATTTTTATTTTAAATAATAAGACTCATCAAAAAGTATAAGTATTTTAAATAAGATGTTCATTTTAAAGAATTGAAATTTTTTAATTTAAAATATACCGGGTGCGTCTCGAAAGTGGCTCACCCCTATAACTTTTTTATTATTTCAGATAAAAAACGCGATTTGTTATGTTAGTATATGACATAAATTAGGATTGATTGACGTATTCAATTGTTTTTGGCCACTTCCTGTTTCACCGGAAATTACTACAACTTTTGATTTTTAAATGGCACCCTCGGTATATTTCTACTTTATTCGATAGAAAATGACACTCTGAATAGAATGACATATTATATGTTAACTTTTGACATTTTCCTTTACAAACAAATCGTATTTTAAATTTCAATCTAGAGTGCCATGGCTGTGTTAAAAACACTAATTTTAATCAAGTGGCCTTGGAAAAATAGTTTTGATCATCTAATATTTTTCGTGTCTTTTCCTGGTCGGTTAAAAGATGCCCAAATCGGATTTTTAATAATATCTCAATTTTTTCAAATGGAACAAAGGTGGCTCATTAGCAAATTTGGAGGAAGCATTTTTTTATGAATAATTTGGTACCACACACTTGGTATTTCGAGTCAAATTGTCGTTATAGACCGCATGTTATAATTTAAAATAATCCATATGCGAAAATGTCAAAAGTTGACATATGATATATCATTATATTCAGAGTGTCATTTTCTATCGAATAAAGTAGAAATATACCGAGGGTGCCATTTAAAAATCAAAAGTTGTAATCATTTCCGGTGAAACAGGAAGTGACCAAAAACAATAGAATACGTCAATCAGTCCTAATTTATGTCATATACTAACATACCAAATTTCGTTTTTTAATCTGAAAAAATAAAAAAATTATTGGGGAACGACTTTTGAGACGCACCCTGTTTATAATAAATTTATTTTGAACACACTGTAGAATGTATACCTGATATATATTTTAATTACATTATCTACTTATATTTTATTACGAAAACTACTAGTACCGTATTATAAAAAAAATGGCATCAAAGACAGCTGGGGAATCACAACCGATAATAATTTTGGCGAGGTCAATCCTAGATGTGATTTACTAAAAATTGACGTAAAACTTCTCAAACACTAACACTAAATATAGAAAAAACGTCTTTTAAAAATCATCTTTACTCAATATAAAAATAAATTAGAACCATCTTAAGGCCAACTGTAAAAAATAATATTCCTAATATTTCTAATATTTTATTCTTAATATTTCCTAAAATATTTTGATTAAAAGAAAACATATAAAAGTGGGCAACGCTGTGCCGGTCAAGCTTCATCACGTGATTAAAATGTTATTTGGTATGAACTGTATATATTTTTTTTAGGAAAAAAGTTATAAAATTGTAAGAATAATATATAAATAAGTTAAAAAATAAAGCCTATGTTAAAAATAATACTTGCATAACATATTTCCATATTAAAGTTTTTAATTGATTTCTCGATATTGATAAAATTTTAATGAATATTATTATGTTGCATTTTATAAGGCATTTTACTGGACTTAAGTTTTCAATATAATTTAGTTTAATAATAAATATAATCCATGCATGTATTATAATCCACTACCCGCAAAAATGTGATACAGTTTGAAAATATATAAAAAATCAATTTTTTAATATTTAAATCCTCATTTTAAATTTAAAAAATGATTCAATAAATATAGATTTTAGGTATAGGAATAAAAATACATAATAACTTCGTTGTTTTATTATACAGAGTGAGCCTTAAATAAGTGCACATATTTACACAGTGCTAGTAGATCTCGATAAAAGAAACATTTTTTTCTTTACCGCTTTTAAAATAGGTTCAAAATAGCCAAATTTACTTACTTTGCAAATTAAAAAAAATATTTTTTACTTAAATTTTGAAAACCACTGTATCTTTTCTGTGTTTTCCATTCTCTAAATTTAATTTATTACCTATGTTGCCGTATTATCAAAATATTATGTTTTTCAACTAAAATTGAAAAAAAAATGTTTCGAAAAACATAAAATTTTCAACTCATAAGTCGTGTTATTGGAATCGAAATATATCACTTCTAAAATATGTTCACTTATTTAAAGCTCACCCTGTATAAAATATTCGGTATACTATTAGAAATATCAGAAAAACATTTAGTGTTGATACACCCAAGCAATTTAGTTTAGTTTAATTTAGTTTCATTATTTTATTATCATAAAATAAGTATTTTATGATAATAAAAGATTCACCCTGTATAAGTATACAGGGTGAAACACGAATATGAGGTTATTTCCGCAAAAAAAAATTCTGAAAATTTGGAATTTTGGAAAAAAAATGTTTTTTTAGTTTTTAGTTAAGAAAAACATAATTTCTTCATAATATGGCTAGGTATTAGATTAAATATACAAGAAAGAAAACCTAGAAAAGATCCATTGGTTCCCAAAATTTAAGCAAGTAATCATTTTTTTGGAAATTTTCAAAGTAAAATAACTCTGTTATTTTGGACTTATTTGAAAAACTGTAAAGAAGAAATATGTTTCTTTTATCGAGATCTGCCACCCGTGGAAATATTTGCACTTATTTAACACTCACCCACCCTGTACAATAATTTGCGAGTTTAAAATTGATATGGAGCAGTTTTAGAACACTTGCAGTGCCCTGTATCTAAAAATAACAGTATCGAAATTATTGCATGTTTAGATCTTCCTATTACTATTTCCTAATGCTATTTCCTAAGGCATAGGACTAATTTACATATTATTATCTAAATAGCATTGACGGTCATTCTAGTTAAAAGACGTTTTTTAAAAACAACATTGATAGTAATAATAACAAAAATAAATAAACAAAAGCTATAGTATAAAATAAATTAATTGAGTTAGCATATTTATTACTTTTATATTTTCTGTTTGAAACACATAATAAAATATAGATAAAAAACTCTTAAATAAAAGCTACATACCTCAAAATTAATACGAATCCAATCACACCGTTTTCTTTTACTCTAATACCGAACCACAATACAATATAATCACAGGAATAATAAATAGTCTAAATAGCGCATCCGTGAAGTCATTTCTACTCGAAACTCACCCTCGAAAATGCCATAAACCGTCAAATCTAACTACTATCCGATTATCCCCAGTCTTTATTTTATTTTTCCGGACCAGCGGAAGCGAGAAATACAAAACCAACGATGTTTTTCGATGTGTGGACTTTCTATATCTTCGTATGTGAGGTTTTCACGCACTGAATGCTGTTATGCTGTGCTGTGCAGCCCCAGGTTACCTGCAGGACTATGCTTGCGGCGTCGTCGATGTTCCTGCTAGCGTCGCTGCCGTTAGCAAGGAGTTTTTGAGCGGGAGCATGCGCCAAATGCTAAAAAACGTGACCGCGGTGACGTAGACTATTATCCTTTTTAAGCTCCTTCGTACGGGGGGTGTAGAAAAAGTTAAGGATATAAAGAAAGAGATTGTTTAATGTATTTCTTTTAATCGTCATAATAGTATTTTACATAATATTTCTTAGAAAATTAATATAAATAAACAAATTTTACTGTACAAATGTATCCAAAATATAGAAACTATAAACTAAAGCTTCATTCAGAACCTCGCAATTAGTGGAATAAATTAGTGGTTTGGTTTGGTTTGGTAGTCTGTTGTGTTCATAAAGAAGGCCTAATATTTAGCTTATAAAATTATCAACTTTTGATTTTTAACTACAATTTCTCTTAACGGAAGATAATTAAAAGCCAAAATGACATTTCTCGCAAATTTTGAAGTATAATTAGTGGAAAAGTTAAAAGTTTTCTACTAATTGAAAATGTCGACCACTAATTTTGACGTTCTGAATGCTTACATTGAAATCAAAGGAACAAACTTCTACGCTAATTAAAATCACTAATGTATTCCACTAATTGCGAGGTTTTGACAGGAATATTGATTTTAGTAATGTACACTTAACGGCATGAAACACGGGCACAAATTTTGGTGTAATTTAATATATATTATATATCAAGTTTAATAGTAGATAGTAAAATACATCAGCTCGGGATCTCTGCTACCAGAAGCTAATAGAAGAATTGAATTAAGTTAGCATGGAGTACTTATGGAAGAAATTCAATCATATTCAAATATAGAATGCCACTCTATCTAAAGAAGAAAACATTCGACCAATGTGTACTACCATAGTTTAAGGAAAAGAGTAGTTGCACTCTCGCAAATATTTTCTGCCAGTTTTTGCAATCTATCGAATATCGGCAGATTGCAAAGCGTTTCACTTCAATTCCGTCCGAGCGAGCGAGGTTCGAGCTGCCAGGTTCGAGCGTTGCGTCCCAGCACAGAGACGGATTGACAAAAAATGAGTGCCTTACTGTGTGCTTCTATTAATTGTAGTAATAATTCAAAAAATTGTTCTTTGAGTTTTTTTAGATTTCCATCGGATGTAAATCGGCAAGCTGATAGTAATTATCAATTAACATTTAATTATATTTGTTTATTTTAGAAGCTGAGATATTATGTAATTAATTAAATGTTAATATTTTTTTAGCATGTGGGCAGATTTTAAAAATATTTTTTTAGATATTCAGGTTTTCTCAAATATGCGCATGAACATATTTTTTGGTCAGGGGATTTGCCATTAAATTTTCATTCCAATAATAATTTACGAGATAATTTATATAGATTGGTTTTTGAAACAATTTTAGAGTAAATATTTTGTACATCTAAAGTCTCCGCAAATTATTCATATTTTTTAATGTTATCTCTTATAAATTTAGTGGATTGTATTTTTATGTTTTTTTTTTATTTATTTTTTATTATAAGTGGTCTTAATATAACAATATTCAAAATATTATAGACAAAATATTGAGTTTATATTTGAGGGAAGAAAAGCACCTAGTTTTAAACCACCGTAAATATACAAGGTGGCCCATTAGTGCGAGGAAGTTCAATATCGTCGACGTTGTCGAAGATGTGAAAAAAGTTTTATTCATATGTTTCAAGGTTTATAAAGGGGCGTATCCTAAAATGGTTTTGGTGACGCCATAAAAAATATCCTGTTCAGGATAAAGTAAATTTTTCTACACGAATTATTTAATCTGATATCCTTCATGTTTAAGAAAACATAGCTAAGAATTAATAAAGTTATATTCACTCTAGTTTTTTACCACTTTTCGTATATAATGTTTTTAACCAAAGTTTTAGTAAATAAGAAAGAGAATGGCAACAAAAATATGTCATTATATATTTTTTCCGCATTTCTTCCCATCAGATTTTCAGGTACAGAAGAATTGTTACCTACACGAAATGTGAAAATATTCTGTTTTCAAGCAAGTTTTTACTCGATGATCAATTTTTTTTATTTTATTTTATTGTGAACTCATATTTTCCTAAATACATATCTGTCAAACTATGGCGAGTGCCACGACTATACTTTGCCTAGTTAATAGACCACGACTATACAGCTACGTCAGTGGTCACGGGAGGCGAGAAAAAAAAAACAAGGTCATATAAAGTGTCAGAAAAAGAACAAAGGATTTGACAAGGAGTAAAACTACTAGTTTCCTTATACTATGGTACTACCATGCAATCATGACCTATGTATGCAAAATCTCGACACTTAAAACGGACATCATAAGGAAACTGCAGGTCGCACAACGCTCAATGGAACAAAATATGGTGAGGTGGACATGACACCTGGCAAAAATAACGGTCAACAAATGGACCACAAAAAATACAGCACGGTGCCCACGAGGAATTAAGAAAGAAGACCGAACCTGAGACGGGACCATGATATTAGGAAATTAGCAGGGATAAGTTCGGCTCGCATAGCCAACAATCCCAACAATAGACAACAATGAGCCCAACTACAAAGAGAGTATTGTGAGGGAAGCTACACCATAATTTTACCAGTTTAATATATTTTGTTCTAGAGAGGCAATTTTGATGATTTTTTAAGCAGTTTGTAGCTAAATTATTTGTCTTTTTACTATCTCTTTCTAAATTAAAAATGAAAGTTCCCATCTGCCAATTATACGCGGTAAAACAAAAAGTTGAAAGGATCTGGTCCTAGTGATGTAGAATGTAGAATGAGTGGAAGAAGGGTTAATAACCGCGACCTTAAAGGTCTATTGTGTCCCCCTTTCTCGGTTATAACTCATCACACAGTCTATAACTCATCATACATGGGCATCTTTTAATTGTAAGGGAGGGACAGGGTATTTTCCATCCTCTTGTGACAACAGCTGTTCATCCTCAGAAGATCTACCTCCTACGAGGGTATACACTCTTCCACGGTTGGGATTTAGCCCTCAGTGACTTTCATAGTCGAGGAGTTTGTCTCTGGTTGACGTACCCTTGAGGTGGAGGCTAGAAGATCAGTCTCCACCTCTTTAACTTGGTCTCTCCTTAGACCTGATACCGGTGTTGTACCGATTCAATAATAGAGAATATAGAGATATCTCTTCGGAGGTCAATGCCTATCGTGAGGACCTGACCATGACCCTCCCCCGAGTTAATGACTCGCCAACTCGATGGCCCCAACTGGTGCCGCAAGGATGAGATCAGTCGAGGCCAGTCATCTATCTAACCACGCATCCCTTTGACCTAATCCCACCATCGGCATCGTAGGATTTGGATTTTTGGTGAGGTGGTCTCCTCTCTTTGTCCGGGCGGTTAAGTCAAGACCCCCCCCCACACACCTTCTGCCGTGATACATATTTTTATCCAAAAAACAGCCGTAACCGTTAAGTAATAACATGAATAATTTTCTCTGATTTTTTTTTGATAATGGAATTTCTCCGGAGTATGTTATACACTTATAAATATGCTACGGTCGTCAATTTTCAGGAATAATCACCAGTAGGAAATAATATAGCTTTTGTTTGTAGTGTTTTCTCTTCATTTCGCTTTAAAATCGAGGCACTGTGGCATTCGACACTAAACACAACACAGAAAACGACCTCGTCCACCTCGAAACAAACGGGAGTTTAATTGGAGAAGTTTGTCAATGGCAAACACGTGTCGCCTATAGAAAACCGATTTGTGTATAGCAAAATAATTACTAAAAAGTACAATAAAAAAACTTTAAATTTTCATGTGCAAAAGCCACGTGCTACACAGTAGGCACACAGAGTTTTGTATTTTCGTTTTGCTTTTATTTGAATGAATGTCATTTGAATGAATTCCAGTATTTCTAATATTTCAAATAAAATTATCAATGCTTATGTAGATTTTTTTTTATAAACTAATAATAATTTAATGGTGAATATTTCTGGACAGCAAGCCAAAATCTGTGCAAAATTCAGAGCATGCATGCATCTCACAGGAGCCATGAGAATGTGCCCAACAGCAGCAATAGAGGTCATCCTAGACCTAACATCACTGCACATTGTCATCGATAGATTATGCCAATGCGACAATAATTTGAATTGCCATTGACGGAAACAGTACTGGGACAATTGTCAGCTTAGGAGCTTGGTTTGGTTTGGTTTGGCCAACCATGCTTCGCTTCATGGTCATCATCATCATTTTCAGCTTATTGAACCATTTCCAATTATGGTAACGTATGATGTGTAGCCACCCTCACATATTTAGCTATTAGCTACTCTGTAGTTGGGCCCATTATTGTCTATTGTTGTTGGCTATGCGGGCCCAAGTTATCCCTGCTAATTAACGAATACAGGGTGGTCCGAACTGTAGTCCGGAAACTTTGGCAGCATATTCTGCAGATAAAAATAAGTAAAAGTTCGTATAAATGTATGTCCTAAAATGCTTAGTTTCAGAGATACAGGGTGTAGAAGGTTCATTTTTATTTCGATTTTTTCCAAATAATTTATGAAGTAACGTAAATATTTGGATGAAAATTGGTATCTGGAAGTTTTTTGACATAATAAATTTGATTGTGATGTCAATATGACTCCTACTTGTAGAGGGCGCCACCTACATATTTTTTAACCGGTTTGAAGAGTAATAACTTTTCGTCTGTACCTGTATAAAACTATTAAATAAAAAAATATACATCTGCGACATTTTTGGCCTAAAAAAGGTATCTTGGTTAAAATCGCTACGAGTAATGGTTCTCGAGATATTTGGAATCGAATTTATCAATACCTGTCATCATTGACATAAATTAAACATGTTGACCTTTGAATAAGAAGACTAAGGAAGGAGCATAATGCTATCCATGTATTCATGCATGGTGGGCGGAAAAGCCACCATAAAAGCTCTCTAGGGTGGGGATCCTTGACAGTTCTGTTTGACGATTCATTTGACACATC